GGCAGGAAAAACCTAAAAACCTAAACCTACAAAGTTAAGGACATAAACGTTAATTTCAGAATATTTTAAATATTAGAAAAAAAATTTCTATTATTTAAGAGAGTATACTTTTTTCTTAGTTGAAATAATACATCTTATGGGTAATAAAAATGTAAGTTTTAACGTGTATTTTTAATATTTACTTATTTTGGCATTATTTGGTTTTATTCCCTCCACATAAATTGTTATAGAATTTGTCCCCATTTTTTGGACGGTGCCTTTGGGTCGCCGAAAAAGTGAGCTGCCAAAAAGCATAATATCTGCCTGCACTCGCACTTGACTTGATTTGACTTTACCCGCCCGATAATGGTCATAGCTCACGCGAGGGTGGAGTGGGTGGTTTGGGGGTGAAGTAGGTGGCTTGGGTGGTTGTGGGTATAAAAGTGAAAGCGGGAAAAGGACAGTGACAAGCGGTAAGCGGTTAGGTTGACAGCTGGCGGGCTTGCAGTTGACTGACTTCTTATCTCAGGCCCCGCGGCTGGAAAATCCTTCCTTCTATAGTATTTCGCTGAAATTGAATGGGAAATTATCGGAACTCCGTCGCATACCTATTAGATATGCAATACGTAATATGAGAATTCCATGCTGAGTCACGGCATAAATTCAAATGTACGCAGAACGCATTATAAATGACTCAACCTTATGGTTTCTGATAAATGATGGCGGAGAAAAGTGCATGGAGACTGATCTTGACAGCACATATAGTAAACACCCGAAAATTATTGTTCAATAATTTAATATTAAAGTGGAAAAACTAAGCAGTCTAGAAAATAGTTCTCTTGGGTTAATATTTTGAAGGAATATGTGTGCTTCAGAGTAAGCTTATGATTTATCTCCCCTAACTATTCGGTTGCAATATTATTGTTAAATAATTTAAGATTAAAGTGATACTTCTCTTGGAAATTTTTTTTTAATACTATGTAGCCCATAAAATAGTGCTCTTAAGTAAATGTTTTGAAAGAATATCAAGATGGTTATGTTTGCTTCAGAATAAGCATTTGATTTATCTCCACTTACTATCTATCTTTTTTACAACTTCGGGTGCGGAAAAGCCATAACACTAACTGATGGGAAATAAAAAATAAAAAAAGAGTAAACCCAACCAGTTAGCACTCAATACGGGCGGCACACAACATTTACGTATGTATCACCATCACGATGATTTAAGCATTTTATCCTGCCACATCGTGCCGCACGCCACACAGCAGGGAATACGACAATAAATTTAAATGGCCATTTCCACTGTGGCAAAATGGATAATAACCCATTTGATGTACGGACACACTTTTTCCATTAAGACCAAATACAATGCGATGCTCGCACACCGGAAAAATATACGCCTACAAGAGGCGTTTCGGGGGGCGGAATTATAAGAGCTGGGAGTTAAACACTTTAACGCCCGCAACTTATGGCTCACAAAAGCACACATATACACACAAACATTACGCGTACGCACGATTGGCCCATAAAAAATCATTTCACTATTCATTGTTAACTGTTTTTAATTGAAATCGTGTCGAGACTCCATCGAATGGTATTAGCTGGCTGGCAAAAGTCGTTCTTTGCTATTTATTTATTATGAACGAGAGTTATATTACGTATACGCAATAGTGTTGATCAAGCTGGGAAGCAAGTTTGGTTTTTTAAAATGAAGGTTTAACTATTTTAAAATACTTTTTAATTGAAATTAAGTTTTTATAACAATATAAGCGCCATGTGGAGGTTTCTAATTTCTTAAGAAAGGAACTATTATTATCTTACACATTACGTATACGCACAGTGTTCAAATATTACCTATTTGATGCCTAATTTTTTATGTTTTATGCATTTTTCTTTTGAATTGCAGTTTGTTCTTCCACTCATCAAACGATTAATTTCCATTTGAAATGTTTTAAATTGAAATCGTGTCGAGGTCTTATCAATTTGGTATCAAAAGTAGTGCGATAATTTCGTCACTTGTTGGAAAAACTCATTTGCAACTCAATTTCCATGGAAATTCAATCAAACCCGTCGACAGGCCGTCAATTATGACATTATCACGAACAGAAAACTAAGTTTCAACTTGGCACCCCCCCTTTTGCAATCCTCCTCCCAAAACATTGCCCCAATTTGAAATTGGGTCTGTGTGCGTTTATCTATGCATATATGCTACTGCTTCTGTTGCTGCTTCTGTTGCTGCTTCTTGATGTTGTTATTGCAAGCGTTCCTTCTAATTTGCATGCCCCCGCACAAGCACACACACACACAGGCACACCGCCTGTAATTGAATTAGTTTTAATGCGATATTCTGGCGCGATAAGGCCGACACCCAGATAGCTCTTTTATTCGTTTATGAACGGTCGTTTATCAATTGCAACTCGCCCAACTTATTTACAATTACCCAAACAAAAGACACAGTAAAAAACTTGCGAAAATCGCAAAGATATATCGCTGGGATAAAATGAAAAGCAGAGAGATACAATAACAAAACAAAGAAAATAAGAGCACAACACATAAAATCAAATTAAATGTCACATAGGAAATTGAAGAGATTATTCTGTTCTTTAATCTTAATGAATTTAATTTTATTAAAACAAAAAATTTTTAAGAATATATTTTTAAACACGTTTTGTAGTAATTTAATTTATAATAAATTAGGCTTTTGTTTTTTTTTTCAATAGTTAAGAGAACATTTACATAAATCGAAGTTTGTTTGCTTGCTAAGCTTAAGGTCATGGTTTGTTATAATATTTTCATAATACAACGTATTTATTTCCTTTTTTTGTTTTCATACTTTCAAATTATATTAAAAAAATATTAACTTTTTATAATCTTAAGTTTAAATAATTTTTATTCTGGTAAATATAGGCACTCTAAACAAGAGAATTTTGTAAACCTCATACACATTCATTTTATTGTGCTAATTATACGCACTATATAAAAAATATGATTTTTTATACTTTATATGCATGAAAATGTTTACAAACAATTTAAAATTTGCGAAACACTATTTGAGTGTATTTAGTTTGGTGGCTGCTTAGTGTCACTTAACATATTTTCATTTAGCTGAAATTAATTTGCACTGCACTTTGTGGTTGCCCCGCCCCCTTTTAGGGTCATCTCGCCTCCCACAATCTGTGTGATATGCAGTGATAAAAAGCTAATCAGGCTGATGCGTTACCTCAGCGATCCACCTTCAGCGCGGAACAGGTGCAGGTGCAAGAACTGCGAGATGCGAATTTTTGGCGAATTGCAGATGCCAGCGGAATTTCCCTAAGAGCGCGCAATCAGAAAATCGGCCAGCGGACTACTCGAAATCGCAGCGTTCTCGACGCGTCACATGAACTTTTCAGACTGAGCGGCAAGTCGGAAGCGAGCGGCCAGCCGAGCCAAAAAAAAAAAAACATATATAAACGAGAGCAGAGCGGCCGAAGAAAGTCGACGCCGCCGCCGACGTCGCCGGTCGCCGGTAGCAGAGGCAGCGGTAGCCAAAGTGGGCACATGTAAAAAAAGGGGAGTGAATTTGAGCGTAGGCGTGCTACGATGAAAAAGCCACTCGGAATCCGAATTCGGAGTCCGAACGAGTGAGTGAAAACGAAAGCGGAGCAAAACTGTACGAACTGGGAAATTCGGAATGCATTGGTGTCTTAAATAAAATGAATATTTGCCTTAATATTTAAAATATAAAATTATGCTGGAGATAATTACAATTTAGTAAAACAAAAAGGTCATTGAAAGAAAAATAATTTAATAATGAGAGAGACTTAATATATGAGAGGGCACTATAGATTATCTACTTTCAAGAATAAATTAAATTATTATAAAAACGAACACGATTTCGGGGGAAATTGGAAGGCGGTTTAAGTCGTAGGATTAAAAATTGACTCTTACTTAGTAAAATTAAGTAAAAACAAATATATCAGAGTTAAAACAAAAATTTAATAAAAAAGAACTATTAATCAAAGAGTTCTAAGGCACACATTAAGGAAATATTTGTATATTACAAAAAAAACAAGTATATAACTTTGGTTATAAATTAAATTTTAAAAAAACATGTAGAGAAAAATAAATGAATTTGTTTTCCACATCCAAAATAAAGCGCATTGGTATTAAATCGATTACTAATTTACAGAAATGAAATGATATTCATAGGTAGCCTCACTGAATATTGAGTGGGTTAAACTGAAAGCAGCATAAAGCGGTCAGAACCGACCAAATCGGGAAGCGATCGTAAATCAATGGATTCTTTATGTTCTCCCAGCCGAACAGTGTTCCTAAAAATTAGAAACAATCAAATGTAATTGCCACAGAATAATTGAAGTAAAACAAACAAATATAAAATTCGAAAGAAGCAAAATATGGGAAAAATAATTAAAAAGGGGAAAGTCGATAAAAGAAACTAGGGGTAAACATAAGAATTTAAATAAAACAGGTATTTATAAACAAACTGAACCACATTGCGGTTGTTCCACTCAAAAAATATTTTATTTTAAATAGAAATGAGCGCAAGATAAACTCACATACTATTGACTTTTTGCACATGAATCCAAATACACATGCTATGAGTATAGTGTCTACAGTGTAGTAGCCAAAAATTAATTAAACAATCGTTTAATGGCACAGATACACAAGCACACATGAATTTCGATTAGCTCTGACCCAAAACGCAATGAAAAACTTTGCGGTAGTACAATACACAGCAATTAAATGGCATTGAAATTAAGTGGAAAACAAAATCGATCAATGGATGAAAGCAGGCATTTCCCGGTATTATATATTGAAAAAGTGTGGTTGTAAATAAATATTGAAGGAAAGCAGAAATTTCCGGTATTATTGGATGAGTATATTAAAAATGTCTTGTTTTAAGACATAATCCAAGCTTCTATACATCCCCTTATAAATTAAGAAACAATTTTTTTAAAAACATTGTATAACCAAGTTTTTGTATTTAAATGTTACACACTCTTGTACTTTTTGTTTTTCTCCATTTGTTTTTGGTATTAAAAGCCGAATTGTTTAACAAATTTAACAGGTATTTTAAATAAAACTAATGACTAAATTAAGATTAGGCACTGTTAATGTCGTATGTTAAGGTTTTCAACTAAAGAAGTACACAGAATCGAGTACGTTGCGCAGGTCGAAATCTCCTTTTTGTGGCAATTGCTTTAGAGTGCGGTTCAACTGGCGCTTGGACAGATCCTCCACAGAGCCATCGTTGGTAAAGTCGCTAAACGAATAACATGTATCAATAAAAATATAACCTTTAATATATATAGTTTCAAAACTTACTTATCCTTAAAGCTGTAGGTGTGCTGCATAAACTGGGAGAGCTGCTCCAGAATGGGCTGCGAGTGCAGGGCCACAAACTGCTCCCGACACATCCTGTTCAGCTCGGGCACAGTATTGGCATGCGTCCAGAAGCAATCGTGAACGGAGACAAAGGTGATGCCCTGTCTTTCGCAGTGCAGCGAAGTCAACATCATGTGCGAGGAATCCAGAGAGTGGATAAAATTCGGCGGGAAGGCATTCTTTTGCTTGAGGATGTTTGGTCGCTCGTACATGTCCATTGAGAAGTTAGAGGAGACCTTAAATCCGGTGCGAGGCGAGTGCTTCATCTCCTGCCGATTGTAAGGCTGCACCACGGGCAAACCCAGCGGTGTAACCCACTCCACATTCTGGCTACAAACTCCGGAAATAAGACGCGCGCACTCCGTAAACCAATCCTGAATCTCCCTAGTGGATGTGAACATTTCTCGCAGGCTCTCGAAAGTCTTGGTGGTCAAATAAGTGGACGCTGGCCACACCCAATCCTTGGGGAACTCATCGATGTCCTTCAGTTGGCGAGCTATCTGCAATCTTGCTCCATAGCGAGTCACGCCGTAAACTGTGGTCATCACCGTCTGTTTGATAACCTTGCGACGCACAAATCCTGCCAGTGCCTCCGCCACATGCAGTCCATTCTGGGCATCGGTTTTCCTGCTCCTCTCCACCAGAACGGCCACCGCACTGTAGACATCCTGCGGAATGGCCGATGGTGCTAGATTAACACTACGTGCACCTGCTTCATCTCTGCCCAAAGCTGCATAATGCTGCAATCCATTGCAGGATCCATCCTGATGGATGGGAAAACGACTCAAATAGGCGGCGGGATCAGCAGAGCGGTATACATTGGCGATTTCCATGCAGCAGGCCAGCGTTTGCCAGGGTTCATCCGACTTGGACCACCACATACGACCGGTGAGGGGATTGTCCGCAGAATCGAGTATTTCCGGCATGATCTCTTCCGCGTACAGAAGACGTTCCCTCACCGAATCCCTTTTCTTTAGACCCGTCAAATTGATGCAGTGCAGCTTTAGCCAGCTGAATCCATCCACGCCCAATGGCTGTGCCTGATCGAAAATGAGCATCGAACGAGCCAAGTCCGAGCCAAGGTGATTGAGATGCGGCGGCACGGGATAAACTCGGCCACGGAAGTCCATGTTGTGTGGCAGCCAAAAGACTTTATCGCGGTACTGAAATGAGGAACGAGTTAACAACATTATAGTGGATGGATTTTATAAATAAATGTTTGCTGGTTTATTCTACTTCAGCTTATATCTAAATCTAGTTGAAATATCTTATACAAATTTTAAGAGCTTTTAGTCATAAATCTTACAAACAAACAATAAATATTTAAGCAATAAAAATACATTCAATAATATAAAAAGCAATTTTAGATTAAATAAACACATTTAATAAAGAGAAACGATAGTCTTATGAAATTTATATACGTATATAAACATTTGAATATTGTCTACATAAAATAAGTCGTACGGACTTAAATTTGTATTGAATAAATGAAAAATTATGTTTTTGCTTCAAAAATGTTTATAGTTTTGAATACAAATCTATTTTAAACAAGAAGTTTTGTAATATGCTTGTATAAAGCTAGTTTTTTTTAGCATTTATTTTTAATTTTTTGCCTAATTCAGTCTAATTATATACACTATCTAATCTAGGGCCTAAAGAGTACTTACATGCTGTGCCAGGGACAACCTGTAGAGAGCATCACACCACAAGCTGTACATCTCGGCCTGCTTCCTGCGATGGCTCAGCTTGTCCCGGAATTGCTTGGCACGATCTGCATTGGAGGCGGCATTGCCGTCCACATCCTTAGCTGGGAGCGTGGGCAGAGGAGGCAGGGAACTCGGAGGCTGAGGGACATCCAGTTTGGCATCGCCACCATTCTGGAACACCTCGATGATGACATCTAATAGTTGCGTATTCACGCGCCAGGGAACACTGGCCAGCTGATTTAAGGAGTCCAGAGCAGGATAAAGATGCTGTGGATTCGAGGCGGCAATGCGATCCCACTGCTGGATGGCTTGGTGAGGCAGGCGAATCAGTTCCGACTTGTTGAGTAGGTAGCCACCGTTGTGTGGGGTACTCCACGGTTGCGGAGGACACAGCATGGGCACTAGATTTGAGTCGAAGGTAAGAGTCTGCTGGCGCGAAGCTCGCAATAATCTGGAGAGCACAGGATGTGGCTTAACCTCCTCCTTAACGAAACGTCCCTGATTTCGAAAGAGTGTGTAGAAGGCGGGCAGCATGTTTTGCGTCTGAGTAGAAGACGCTTTGGTTTTGCTCTTCAGCCGCATAACATGTGCATCAATCTTGATGTCCCGCATCAGAATGTTGTACAGAAAGCGACCCACTCCGGTCAAGACATTCGAGGGCCACGGCACCTCTGGCAGATCCATGCTGGGTCCACTCTCCCGCTGTTCGTGCACCAGACGCTGCCAAGCCTGTCGTGTGTTGTCCTGTGACTTTCCGCTATCCCATAGCTCACAGTACGAGCTGTATATCTCGCCAATCTTCTCCAGCGTGCCATTGTGTTTCTTCTGCTCGATTTTGTATCGTTGCTGAACTTTCTGGCCAAGTTCTTTGTACAGCTGACCCACTGTGGGACTGAAGGTTTCCGAACCCTCGGCCAGCTTATAAAGCTCCTTGATCAGAATGTCTGCAAAGTGTGATGTATCGAGGGTCTTCAGGTATGTGTAGTAGTTCATGAAGCCATGTGGCTTAAAGCGCACTTGGGCACGCAGCGTGTTGAGATCTCGCACGATGGCTGAGGTAATTTGTTTGCGCCATGTTTCCTCCAGTTCTTTAAGCCGCTCGCGCTAAGGGAGTTTCGAATTTTTCAATTAAAAATATATCAATTATAAAGCACATAATAGATCTAACTTACGCATTTTTCGGAATTGGCAAACTCCTTTGATTTCTCAATAGACTTAATGGTTATGCTACCGTCTAGCTCTATTTTAAGCTGCTCCCGAGCAAGCTGCTCCAACTGAGCTGTGCTATAGCCTCTCTTCGAGTTCATAATGGCATAGTCCAAGTCCTTGTTCTCAGCTTTCTCATCTGCACCAATGGGTAAGACATGCTCGTTGAGATGATTCAGCAGTTCATTGTCGTAGCCCAGCTGCGGCGGCACATAGACTGGTTTGAAATCCGGACGTAGTCTTCGAATAGCATCCAGAGCAATGTCCCGCTGATCGGCCACAAACTTGGACTGATCCATAATTTGATTCAAACTAAAGCCCTCGTTCTTCGCTTTAGCGATATATTTGGATATAAGTTGCTGGTTCTGTTCGTCCGGTTCCAAGCGACCCAAGCACTCGAAAACGGCTACATAGGTTTGCTCATTGAACGCCAAACCATCCTCCTCGATGAGTTTGAATAACTCCTCCACTCGATCAAAGGATCCCTTGCCCGCGTAACCATGCAAAAGGATATTGTACAAGTGGATGGTCATGAGGCCCTCGGACATATGCGGCAAAGTACTCTTTCTAACTCTGCCTCGATAGGCAATTATTGTGGACAGGGCACGGTTTAACATATTAGCTGAAACACACACATTGAGGTAAGTGTTCAGGTTAATGTTCAGTGCCCGCTGTTTGGCCAAACGCTCTTGCTCCTCGTTGACATGAACCTTTGACTTGAAACTAAAAAGGAAAATAATCAACTTTAAATTATTTGGTTTTTAAATGTGCATAAATCAGCTCACCGTTTTTTGGACTTGGCTATAACTGATGCATTGGCATTGGGCGTAGCCACAGCAGTTACTGAAGAAGGTTTACTTTTGTCCAGGGGATTGATGTACGGTTCAATGGTTTCAAAAGGATCTAGGGATTCAGGTTCTTCTGTAAGCACTTTGGGGGTACTCAGCCTGGGAGAAAGAAAAGTTAATGTAATTTAATTTTTCAAGAAAACCCAAGTGAAATGATAAAGACTGGAATACTAACTATAATTAAATGTTGTATATTAATACACATTTAAATTAAATATAAAATACAATGCAAATTAAATTGCATGTTTAAATAATAAAATATTTTAAAGTATGTAAAATATATTAGATTACATAAGTCCCATATAACTTTCAGTGCTAATATATATTTGAGTTAAATATGGTTAACTTGTAATAAAAATTTCAGATATTAAAATATATTTAAAAAAAAATCAAATGAAAAATTTAAAACATTTTTTAAATACCTAAAAACCGCAATGCACGAATACCAAAGCAAAATTTGTTTAAAATTGTGTTGAAAATTTTTTTATCCCCTTATTTTAAGACTCACCCAAAATCCGCTTCATGATGATCGTTCCCCATGCTCTCGATGATGTCCCGAAAGTTATGGAAACTCTTAAGGATATTTTGCATTTCCTCGGGATTGGCGACCACCTGTTTGGTGTACTCATCCTTGCCGAAGAAGAGCATTGGCCGATCGTCGTATATGCCGGATTCTAGAACAGAACCATCCAAGGCCTCCATGTCGATTTTCTGATACTCAACCGGTTGTCGTTGGACCACATCCAATATGCCTTTGGCCCTCTTATCCTTGCGATCCTCCCGGGCACGTCTTTCGAGGATCTGTTGTTGGGCTTTCTGTATAAAATCGGCTAGCTTTTTGGATTTGAGCCGCTTAACCCGGGATTTTCGTTCGCTAATGGCCTGTTCGGTGACTGAATAGGGGAAAAAAATTAAAATTAATATACTATTGCAGTGAAGACACTTCGTTCTCTATAAAGTATATATATTCTGGATCAGCCTCACTAGGAGAGTTAGTTTCTACGCAAATCTTCTTCCAATTGCAGGAATTGGATCAGACGACTATATCATATGACTCGATCGAATACTTCAACGGAAATTCGACAAAGCTTCAATGTCTTGAAAGATATAGGCATATAAATCGAAATATAGTCTTTTTAAAAAGTATGTAAAATTTCTAATAGATGCCAGAGTATATATACTTAACTTTCCAGATGTTTGCTACCTTTCTTGTTCATTATCCTAGCTAATAGGACTTACCCTCCAGGAGCTCCACATATTTTGCATATCTTGGCTTGCGCAATCGTTTTTTTTTCGTTTGTGGCAGTGCATCTGCCTGTGTTGTTGTTGGTGTGCTTGTTGTTTGTGTGCGTGTGATTGTTGTTGCTGTTGCTGCTGCCGCTGATGTGATTGTCACTGAAATTGGAAAGCACATGTTTGTATTCCTTTCTAATACTTTCTATATTTATTACTCACCTGCCGGCTTTTGGCGGTATAGCATTTGATAATACTGCTGATAATGGACTAAATTTGAAGGCGCAATTTCGCCGCAGCCGCAGCATACTGTTGTTGTTGTTGTTGTGGGGTGGGCTATGGGCGGCACGCGAAGTGCTTTTTGCACGGCTGCCGCTCGATTTGCACTTAATAAACGATACATTTCGATGGATTGCAGCTAGGAGCAGACAATCTTCGCAAATGTCATTAATTTAATGCAGTTTGTGGCTTTTTTCACACACAATTTGTTGCATAATTACACACTGACCCTTCCGATTTGTTGTTTGTTTCTCTTCACGTGTGGCGGTGCGCAAGCAGTTGGTAACACTGCTTGCGCCGTTGAACAGCTGATTGGGAGACCAGGGCTGGCAAGCAAAAAATACTACAAATATACTGCAAAATACACTGTAAAGTACTTGTTTGCTACCTGTTTAAAAGTGAGAACACTTTCTTGCTATTATTTAAATTGCTTGGGAATATTTACCACCAGCCCTGACTGTTGCCAACGAAACTTTTTTGGTATTATTTATCCTGCTTGGTATTATGTTAACCAGCCCTCGCTCGTTGCCAACGACTTTTCCGTTAGAGTTCAAAAATAAACACAATTCAAAAGTTTGAATGAAAAATGCCGCCAAAAAAGGGTAAAAAAGGCGCGGCAATAAAGGCGGAGGAGGACCTGGGCAACCATCCGCAGCCGCCGAATGTGTTCCTGTACATCCAACTTGCCAGCATCAGCAATCTGCCCCAAACGCCGCATCCTCTCGAGATTCACATCAGTCAAGGAGACAGTTTGATCGTCAAATGCGATGAGCACTACAACACGGATGGAATTATTGTGCAGGGTGAGTTCTACAGCAAGCCCACATTTACGTTGATCTTCCAGCAGGACAATGTGGACAGGATCAACCATGCGGCGGATAATCCCCTCCTGATTCAATTTTATATGAGGGTGTTTCCCGGGACGCGTAACTTTTTTTTGGACGAAACAGAGGATGAAATGTTGGAGGAGGAGGAGGAGGGCAATCTAGACCCCGTGGACTCCGATTTCGTTTCTTCTGTGATAGAAACAACGGGGACAATGAAGTTGCAACTTCTATGTGTGGGCTATCTGGATGTGATCAAGTTGTTTGGCCATCGACGCAGCATGATCAGTGAGCAACTCTTTCTTTATCCCATGCCGGATGTGTCCAATGAACTGAGATGCACCGTTCACACGGAGTGGCATCTCTATACCCTGCTGCCCATTGCCAAAATGTTGACCTTCACCAACATGACCTTCGTGACCTTTGAGAGCATATACAATTTGAAAGAGGATTATATTTTGGATATGGAATCCTTAAGCGTTCGCCTGAGTTTTCGTTCCCGATTGCCCAGTGAACGCAATGACTATACCTTCATTCCGCTCTGTGAATTCGGGAATCTGGAGCGAAAGGTCATCTGCACGCAGGATAATCACCATGTCTTCGAGTCCTTCCGGCAACGAGTATGTCCTTGGAACGTGACCGGCTTGAAGTCCGCCATGGAGGTGGAAATGCATCGCATCTTCTCGGAACTTTTCTACTCCGAAGGCCTCACCGTGGACTTTGAGGAAATCGAGCAGGTGGTGGACGAGGCACTCGTCTGCAACTCCTTCCACCGCTTCATCCTCACACAGAAGATGGCCGACATCTTGTCGCTTGCCATCACCTGTCAGCAATATGTCCTGGCAGTGGAGGTGTTCCAAAACCTACCTGGCACCGCCAAGCCACAGAAAGTTTTCCAGGGTGTTCTGGATCCCTCTATAATGGCCTTTCCGGGGGGTGAGTTTATATAATTGATCATATTGAACAGCCAACGAAATGTTGAACACAATGAAAGCCAGAGGAATGAGTTTTCAAAAAGTTACAAAAAATTGAACATATATATATATCCAAAAATTTTGTAGTAATATAAAAGATTTAAGTCTATAATATGGTATATAAACACACACATGAAATTATATATCCATTGGAAAGGTATTGCTTAGACGCCTTTAAGAATAGTTTAAGAATACAAGAGTATAGGTATAAGTAGGGAGTATCTTTTAGTTGGCAACCTTGAATTTTATTTATTTCATACTCAATTTAAATATTTGTCACGTTGATTTTCATTGTTATTAGTTTTTTAATGCCTTGAAAACAAATATAATTGGCATTAATAAAAATATTTTAATATTAAATTACGCAATTTAATATGCATTGTATTTATTATTATGAATAAAATATAAAATTTTGGATACAATAGTCAGATATTTATGTTCACTATTTCAGTTTTTTAACAGCTTATAAGTGGTTAAGAATTCTATATATTTCTGCGGCACATTCGATTATACGGCACATTCATGATATTATGAGTAGCTGGTATCTTCAAAGGCTGTAGTCTTGATATAGTATTTATTCTACCATTAAATCCATTTCTAACAGTGCAAAACATGAGGTTCGCTGTCCAGCTGGACTACCTGGGAAAGATAAAGGCCAGAAAGCAGATTAGCGAGGCCAGCGTGAAGAGTTTGGAACGCCAAAGAGTGCTGCCCACGTTCGCCATTATCAAATTGTGTCTTTTAGCGCCGATTGGGGAGATCTACAAGGAACTAAAGGTGTTCCGCGATAGCTTCGTTCGCCAGAACCGCCTGCTCTTCTGCGATGCTCCCTACAATGACCATAAAGCGCTGACACTTTCTGAAATCCAAATGGAATCCTACGCCCGATTCGACAAATTCATCCGGGATTGCATAGCTTTCATTATCGACAAGAAGGTGATGAAGATCGAGGATAAAAAGCAACACTTTTGCTGTGCCGTTCAAAACTTGACCAATATCCTAATGAAATTGGTGGGCAGTGTCTACAATACAAAGACTCCCACTTCGACAAATGTGGAATTCGCGGTAAGTGGATTATAATATATATATTAAATATTATAAATAGAATTATATTTCTTTAGAATCTCTGCAGTATGGCCTACAACGATTTAGAACCTCGTATACATTCCATTGTGGAGAAAATTGAGAACGAAGGCTTTGAAAATTATTCAGTCAATAAGCATATTCAAATAGAGCGAATCATCGACTACTTGAACACCATCAAGTTACTAAGTTTAGTGAATGATGACAGCCTGGGCAATCTTTTGCTTGAGAAGGTCAGTTTTTGATTCACAACAGTCTGATTCATTGAATACTTTTAATTACTTTTTGTGACCAGTCAGAGTATTACTAACTTTTTTTGTACAAAATATCTAAGCTGCAGGCTATTAGTTTAATCTGAAAGTTAGTTGTTTCTTTGTAAATAAGTTTTACGTGTTTATCTATTTTTATTTTAAGATTCAACAGTCATTCAGCTAAATTTAAAGACTGAATCATGCCAATTTATAAAGCTGTTTGTTTTTTACTGTCTGTTTTATTAGCAAACATTAATCGATTAAATTCAAAATTATATACAAATTTAATTTGTAATACATTTCCGTTGGAATATTTGTTTATAATATAAACGGAAATGAATAAGGTTTCATATAAACCTGTAAGTGAATCACATAAGCTGTACGCTAATTTGATTAGATTTTGTACCTTCCCGGTACAACTGATAAAGTTATGAATGAACGAAATTCGGAAGTAAACAATTAATCATTATGACTGTTAATGTGTGTTATCTAAATGCTCGTATATTAAATTAGACAGCGACAATTGAACATATGATAACTGGTTTGGAAAAGGCCGCTTGGAAAAATTTTAAAAGCTAATTGTTGACCATTTTAAAAACTACTATAATTCTAGATTATTTTCATTTACAGGCTACCACCGAATATCCCTCGGACGAACGCTTTTGGTTCTACATGCTCATCGCGAACATGGAGCGTGGAGAACTGGACAAAGCTAGGCTCTACTTTAATAAGAATCATCTGGCGGATACCCATGAATATTTTGCGTAAGCACCAGCCTATTAATTATCCCAAATAAATTTTTAAAATATATAAAGATACTAAAAATGGTAATTTAAACTAAATTAGAAAATTACAAAAATCAAATAAGCTCCTAAAGTTAATATAATTAAATTTACACTTAGGTATAATAAAAATCTTTTAAATATTATTGCCTTTTGTTAATACTGTAAAATTTTCCTTACAGTTAGAATAAATATAAATTCATATTTATACATATAATAAAATATTCTAACTTTCAATTATTGTCCATTGTTAATGTTCTTTAATAATAAGTGTAGTGAGTAGCATAATTACTTATAAGTTATAATTGTCATACTAGGAAAAATATGTATACTATATAAAAAAATATATACCTTATAAAAATAAATAAATACTATATACTATATAAAAATAAATAAATAATTACAATAAACTGATATCGAAGGGCATTCACAGGGGCTGGATTAAATTGTACATAAACTATGTGGACACTCGCGATAATCCGGAAACATCAGCTGATTGCACGGAGTGTCTTTTGAAGAGCATTACCAACTATGCTGAGAAGAATCCTCGACAGCAGGTTGCCTGGATCCTGCTATATTGTTATTACAAACGTTTTAAGTACGAACCGGGATGTGCTTTCGCCCGCTGGCGATTCGAGGATCAGCATTCCACCAGCAAGGTCAGCAAATCCGAGGCTCCTCACAGTCTTTGGGGTATCTTCCTATCCCTGAACATCACATTTCCATCCAGTCGAGGAAGCCTCATCTACGACGTCTTCAAGATCTTTGTGCGCCTGGGACTCTACGAATTCGCTCAGGTTGTTTTTGCCACCGTGGAGCATTTGGTCCAGGATGCGGATCGATATATGATCAACACTCAGTTGGCTCTGATGCTCAACCAACTGGATGAGGACTTTGTGCCACAGAGTTTTGAGTTTGGAGAAGAAGAGGGAGCTGATCAATTAGTATGTTTTTCCTAAATATCGTGGCACCCTACAATCAGAAAAAAATGCCTTGATTTAAAAAAAATTCATAATTTAAGGACCTTAAGGTCTTAACATGGCCTTTAAAACGAGCCAACATTTTTTCACTGGCAAAAATCGCAGTTTATCCAAAAATTCTTTACTCATTTGAAATATTTTTTGCTTTGATTTTCATCTCTTGCGATTTTTGTGTTATTTATATTAATATTTCTTAATATTCCTTTTAAATATTTTTGAAATAGATTTTACAGCTTAAACTTAAGTATAATTCTTTTAAAATCAAATAGAACCCTTTTTTAATCTAATATTTCCATATTAATTCAACTATTATAATAAATTAAGCAAATAATGTATAATAAATTAAGCAAATTTATATGAAATGTATTAAGCTTTGTGATGATAAATAAATAAAAATGAATATCCACATTTATGTTAAATAATAAATGTGGATATTCATTTTTACTATTTCCTTTTGTTTTTATTAATGTAATTATTCAATAGCCAGATACTCTGCTTAAAGGCCGTTTTTAGTTTATTATTCCTTAAATTTAGATTTTTTTCTAAAACTTATGAACTTGATTTTCTGAGTTATTATTATTATTATTATTTATTATTATTATTATTTTTTAAGGCCGCCATGAATGCTCAGGTCAATGGAAATGTGGAGTATTATCGAGGAAATCTGGTGGAGGCGGCTCTCTACTACGAATGCTGTTTGACCCTGCCACCACCAGAGGTCAATGAACGTGACTACTTCGAGTTGAGCAGATTGCGTCTGGGATATATATCCTATGAACTGGGCGACTACCATAAATGCATCGAAGCCCTGAACTTTACGTTCGCCGGAGAGTTGCCGACCCTCGTGGCAGACTATATGATAGGAAAAGCCTATTACAAATTGGATCACTTGGAGATGGCCCTCCAGTGCTTTGCCAAGACCACCCGGATTGAGACACATGTGCCCAACGTTTGGGGATTCCTGGCTTTGATCAACCTACGACTGGGCGACAACTATAAGGCCATCGAGTGCTGGAAGTACGCCAAAATAGTAAGTCCACATACTACATAATAGAATATTGAGTATTTTAAAAACTAAAGTTATGCTTAAGAGTGATAAATAAATAAATTTTTCTAACAAACACTACTAAACTGTTTTAAATTAAATATTATCTGTAAGTGTATATATTAAAAAGTATTTATTATATGCAAATTAATTGAAATATATTTGACAACAATAAAAATTACTTGCTAATTTCTTATCCTTTCTATGATTTGGTTATACGAAACAATAAATTTTCAATTTATTAAGGTAAACAAAAAATTTAATTCAGGGATTTAATATTTTTAAACTTTGTTATTAGACAGTTATACTTCAAAATAAAAAATGAAGTAAAATTTCAAACATAGCAAAAATTGTAGGGGTTTGACAATAAAGAACCACCAGCATGTTTTATTTTTAATATTGCTATATAATGATATCTCCATTTTTAGGAGCCCAACCGTTCGATTGAAGACCTTATGATCTACGAGGAACTGGATGCCTTTGACTACGATGCCGTTGACTTGTATATCGATATACCTGGCCAGTTGACCGAGGACATTTTGGATGAAACGCTGTCAGGCGGGTAGAGATTGTATATATTGTGTGTGTGTGTCTGTTTTCGAGAACCCATAAAGTCCAACATTCTGGCTGTTGTGCTCTGTTCATAGTGGCTTCATCAAAATGAAAGTGGAACGGTGTGGGGTTTTGTGGTTTGGCTTTATTACTCAGTTTCTTTTTCTTTTTTTTCGCTACGAGGCTCATTTGTTGCTGTTTAGCTGGCGTGACTTGTTGACACAAGGTAATGAGGCAGGGGCACCAGCAATTTGCTTACATAAGACCAGTCCGTCTAATACACAACAACACACACACTGCAGTCGCCAAGTCCTGGCTTTTTATAGAACACATCTGAGGATGCTTAAAAAACGGCGCTGCAGTCGGCATCCAAACATGGCCCATGCAGGTGGCATCTGCTCATCGGCTGTCCTGGAGGAGAAGCCAACGGCCTGTGTGGCCAGCAGCACGGCTCTGGCCATCAGGAACTCCACCATAATTGCCCATCGACTGTCCATTTATCTGCCCCAATTGCTGCTGCCCTCCAGGGATCCCCAGAAGGTACGTTTTGCACCCCCTCCATTGATGTCTGTTAAGAAAAGGGATAAGTATAATACTTAATATGTATATGTATAATACTTAATATAAAAAAACTTAAATTAATAGCAAAAAAAATATGTCCTATTTTTTTTAATATGGTTTAAATTAAACACAAATTTTCAGAAACTGCCTGTTTTAAAACGCTGACTTATCACATTTTTCTAAATCCGTTAAAAAAAGAGTTTTAGCTATTTTTTTTCAGCTAAATTTATATTTTTGGAATGGTTATTTGAAGGCAATTTTTTTTGGAAACAATTTTATTGAATATTTATTTTACGATATCTTGGGTAGCTTACAACCCCAAAAGGAATTTCCTTATATAAACTAACTAAAAACCAAATGAAAATCGAAGCAACAAATTTTTAAGTTGTGTATTAAATACTATTAACTATTATACATTTTTAACAGTGTACACATTTATACTATTGTACACTTAAATTGCTAAGAATAAAGACTATTCTATAATGTAATTTAATCAAAGTTAACTCTTAATGATGTCACTTAATAACATATTTTACTTTACCAGCTCATTACCGAAATTAACTGCCATGTGGCCCAATTCCGGGAGATGCTCATCTTTATAGGACAGGCCAGGGATTCTCCAGAGCTGCGCGAGAAGATTAGAAAGTTGAGAAGGAACTGTGTGGATGCCTGCAAGCACACCGCCCATCTGATCACTCCACAGCCACGACATTGTTTGGGCAGTCCCAGCGAAAGGATGCACTTGACCCTGCTCTTTCATCTTACCCAGCAATTTCAGCATGAACTGATCAAGAGTCATCGTTTGATCCAACTGGTGCCCCTCGATATGACGGATTACTATGGTTGGAAAGGGATATTTAATAAAAGTTGAGGTTTCTATAGTTTAAAATACTTTTTAGCTCCTTCACGAACTGCACCCTCGAATCTCGGCAACGTGATTAGTCAATTCCTGTTGTGCAAGCAAATAAATCCCGATTTCCAGCAGGAGGAGCTGTGCAGCATTGCCAAGGACTCGGAGGAGCTGACAGAACTTTTGGAGGAGCTTCAGGCCCACATGCCCTTGACAGAGGCATCTCCCGACACTGAACTGGATCCGGCCCAGAAATGTAAGTAAATCAAATAATTTTTATTAAATATTCTCATATTTTAATGATATTTTTAGCTGAAAGTAGTCTTGTATCACTGAACACTCCAGTTTGGTATGCCCGCCAGCGAAGAAGAAGTTGCAAAACACGGAGTCGCAGTCTCTGTTGTTGTTTGGCCAAAAATCGTACAAAAACTTATTGAAGGAAGTTTATTTGGAAAGGAAAGTAGCTTTCACTATTAAAAAAATCTTAGTGAATTCTAGTATTTAATAATCAATTTTAGGTCTTATTTTTGGTATTGTAAAAAGTTTATCGCCAAAAGCAAATTACAAGGCTTCAACTCATTTAACTTAACTTTAAATACAAGAAAAGCCTTGCCTTTTAAAATATGTTCAGCAAGATAATGTATAGTATTACCACAAAAATAGGAAGTAAAACACTGTCAAAGATAGAACCCAATTATCAGCTAGAAAAGTAGTGATTTAAAATCCATAAACCAGTTATTAAGTGTCTAATAACTGCAATGCTCGATGATAAGGGAACAACATTCAGCGACCCAATAAAATGTATTCCCAGAAATGATAATAGCAGGTAATGCCGGCAATGTGTGGGACATCAAAGAAACCCCCAGGCAATAACCATAATGAAAGTGATTAAACGAAATAAAAACCAGAAATACAAATCGAGAGTTGGTGTCTTCTTGTTTCGAGGAAACCCGCAAAGAAAATGATGAAATCTGAAATCCAAAATCTGTGCCCCTTAAGCGAACAAAGGGTGATAAATTCACCCGAAAGCAGGTGAAATCCCGCTTTACGACGACTAAAGAAGATGTCACATTAATTGGCGAGAATCCCAGAAGCCTACACAATATTTACCCATCATTTAGCGCAACAGGTGATGTCGGCTTTGCCCACCTGGTAATCATATATATATGCTGATTAGATTCCGACTTACAGGTTAAGCGAGGCTGATAATACGCCTTGGCAACAGAAAATCCCACAATGTGGCATTAATTAGAATACATTTGTTTTGATTTTTGCATAGTTTAAGTTTTAATTTTAAAAATATGCCTTTGTCTTTTTACAAAACATATCTCTACATTAAAAATATATATATATATATTTAGATGTATGTATATTGTATGCAGTTTTATATGGTATATAATATATATTTATATATATATAGGTGTATATATTAGGTATAAACTTCTACTTGTCATATGGATTTTCACAGAAAATCTTCAACTTTTTGAGTAATGCTTTTTAATTGTTTCCTTGTGCGTGTGTTCTTACATCTTTAATTTTGCAACGACGCGCTTTCGCTTTCCCCCTTTGAAGAGACTGTATTGACTGTTTCAATCCAAATCGATAGTTACTTTGTTGAGCATTTATGCAATATGGAAGATTCTTTGTTGCGCCATCCGTTTGCACCATCAAAGTTAACTTTGATCTGTGCTCGCGGATCTCCTCGCTTCGAACAAGCTTTGACACAAGGCAAAAAAGCAACAACAACTAACTAACTAAATTGTTAACAACAATCTCTACACGATTACACGGGTGGTTTAGTGTGTGTGTGTGTGTGTTAGACGTCAGCTACATTTTGCTACATCATTATAAATTCACTATTTTTGTTCACGATTCTTTCTGGCTAATATCACCTTTATCACTGCAATGCCTAAACTCGGCTTAAGTCTAAGCAGAAAGAAGTCTTTTCCTGGATAGAATAGGTCAGGTGAGTGTGTGTGTGTGTGTGTGCAAACAAATATGGTGCCGTTTAAAAAGTAGACAAAAGGAACTAACTTAACTGCTAAACAATTTGCATTTCCCACACGAACGAACGAACAAAAGAGTAAATTGTGCAAAAATAAAAAATATAAAGAGATACAAACGCTGCACAACACAATAAAAACTAACAACTAAAAAGCTTAGCAATTAGGCCCTAAATTACGGGTGACAGACTGTGTGTTTTTCGTGTGGAGGTGGAGCTGTTCTCCAGCTATTTGCTATCTGCTATCCGGATGAATGGTTTTGGTGGATGTGGAGTTGGAGGTGTGGCCGATGTGGAGGCGTGTGTGTGTTTTTGCAGTCTGGCTGTCGGAAAGGAACTCTAGTGGCGACCGCTTTTGCTCGCCGTCGACGTGGACAGCTGTTCCAGGCGGGAGCACAGCTCCTGGGCCAAACGCAGTTGATTCGCAGCGGCGGCGGCACACGAGGTGGCAGCTCCAGCTCCAACGGGCAACTGGACTCCGGCCACCACTTCCGGATAGCTGATGCACACGCCCACCCAGCGAGCTTGACTGCAGGCATGCGACTGTAAGGAAAGAAAAGGAAATTGTTTAGTTTTCGTAAACAAAAATAAATAAATTCAGTTGAATTTGTATAACTCAAACACTGGATATTTTATTTATTTATTTAAATAAAGCTAGGTTAACAAGAAAAAAAGGTTACTAATAACTGATCATGAGCAAAAATGAAAACAAATGATTTAAATTATGTTTAAATGTTATGTTTTCATTGGATATATTTCATTTAAATTAAGGCGTAGTATTATTATATTCCGTTATGAAACATTTGTTTAAATAATCCACCAAAAGTTCTCTGTTCTCAATGTTAGGTACCAGCTTTCATTGCATATTTGTATTTGTATTGACTTATCAACAAAATGTTGGGAAGGTGTCAACCGTAGATGTTATGTATATTAACTTTTTTTGTCCATTATTCAAAGCAGTTATGTATATTAACTTTTGGTCAATTATTATCGGTATGTTTATCAACTTTTGCCAATTATTCAAATCTGTTATGTATATCAACTTTTGTCAAATATTATCGTTTTAATTTTTTTGTACTCCCAAGAAATTAGAATATCTATCAAAATGGCACTAATAGAAAGGCTTGGCAAAGCAAACAACTAATTTAAGATAAAGAAATTTCAATAATGACGAGGAAATCTAGGCTTTAGTTTGAGTTATGGAAAGTACGACAAGGAAAGACATTGAAATTAGTTCAAGTTATGAAAATTTTGACAAAGGAAGATATAGACATTTAACTTATGACGAGTGATAAATTCAGGAAATCCAGGCTTTAGTTTGAGTTATGTTTCCATTCACTTAGCGACTTGAACTCACCATGGCAAAGTCACGTTTCCATTGGACACCGCACTGGCCATCGCAGAGGGGGCATGGACGCTCCAGGCTGTAGCCACCGCATTCGCTGCAGTCGAGGGACACATGGTCATCCGTCCAGGAGACGCCGCAGGTGAAGCAGGAGCCCATGTGCTGGCGCAGCTCCTCGATGGTCAGCACATTGTCCATGCTGATCTCCAGGGGACTTCCCACCAGATCTGGCAGCGAGGCGGACAGACCCAGATTATGATGCCTGCAAGAGATTAAGGCCGAAGCGGGGAATTCTTGATTAGTAATCATAGTAATTGCTGGCGTCGGGCAACCGTGACCTTGCCAAGTGGGTGGCGGTGGCGATGGCGGCATGCGCTGGCGTGATTATGATAATGAACTGCGTGCCGGTATGGCATTTTGGGAATGTACTGCGACGGCGACGACGACGACGACGACGACTCTACGGCGAGACTTTCGCACGATCATGTGAGCGATGGCGACGAGGCTGGCTTTTGTTGCTTTTGTGCGGCCCCAAAAAGCGAAATGATAATGATACGAACGCGACTATATGTGTATAATATATGGCTGGTTGTATACAAACACAGGCGCATGGCCCCCTTCATTAATGGGCCAAAGTCGTGGCCAAATTGCAGCTGTGTTTCTGTATTGTATTGTATTTTATTGTATTGTATCGAATGGAAATGGTATTGGAAATGGAATTGCGGCTGTGTACTCTGCACCCTAGCCGCTAGCCATGATAAGATTGCTAAACTCATGAATGAGCCAACGAATTCATGCGTTTACCCCCTCGAAATTAACCCTGACATTTGTTTACAGCGAATTTTAGCAAATGCGAAACGGAAACGAAACGAATCACTACTTCCAGCTAAAATGATTCATGAGTGCGCGAGATGTACATATATATGTAGATATGGGCATCTAAATTTAAAAATGCAATATACTTACGACAAGGGACTGCAGATGTCGGCGATTTGGGGACCGTGAACACTGGCGATCGACATATTGGCTGTTGATGGCACTGCAAAGAGAAGGAAAATGGTATACAATTAAGTTTAAAGTTTAACAAAAAAAAATGTAACAAGGTAACAACAGAAACAGAGGGTTCAATGCTTCGCCGGCGAAGGTAAACGAGCTTGTTGTACAGGTGCGTGACTCAAATGTCAGTGCTTGACTGTACCGGCACTGGTACTACAACAGAAGATCAATTCAAATATATAGATTAATACTTGTATATATCATTTTCCAGCCAGCAAACTCGGACGACATTCTTGGCTAAAAAATCAACAACTATTCGTGTTGGGATTGGGAAACTGAAGGTGGAGTGTGCGGTCCACGAACCGCTGAAATCCGGTTGAAAGCACCATAAACACACAGCGAGGCCGCCGATCACTCTGATCAAAATGCGTCATCTCTGTGTGTTGTGTTGTAGTTTCAATTGTTTAGGCGACGGGCAATTAAATAACTTTAATGTGCGAATTATTTGGAATTGGAAGCGAAACGTTAATTGCTTGTGTCTCCAAGCGGGGAATACTGCCTATAATGCATATACTATACTATATTTATACGACCTGTGTCTACATTGTCGCCACGATTTTGGCAAAGTTGCCAAAAAAAAAAAAAAAAAAATCTTTGTTGGCAAGGCGGGCACATGACTGCTGGCCTGGCCTGGCATCATAATAAATAAATAAATAAATGTTTTGCGTTGTTATGCGGCCAGTCGTCGGACGTTCTATATTTAGCTGGTTCCTATCGAGAAAGTATAATCATTGAGACGTGCCCAAAATAAACACATAAAAACATGCAGTATAGTCTGGGATGTGGTTTGCAGCTCAGCTAGGCTGCCCCTGCAATTCGGTTTGAATGCCGACTACTCTACTGAGGGGGCAATTTTCAGCAACGGCAACGGCGCAAATACGAAATTGCTGTAATTTATCCGAGCGAGCATATTGTGTGCCTCACACACAACTAGTTGCATTTAATTTGATTTTATTTATTTATAGAAGGGCACACACACTCCCAGCCGCACAAAAACGAGGCGCTTCATTTTTTTGTTCAGTTATTTTAGGCACGGAAATACTTACATTTGTTGTGTTATTTACGGCAAAACAGTTGTTGTCTTTTTTTTGTATTTTTTCAGCGCTATTAATAAATCCAAATTGGGATTTCTGTGTGTTGTTTAATTTGATTTGTTGCTGTTGCTGCAGTTGGTAATTGTAGTTGGCCTTGCGTAAGCCAGAAAATCAAATTACTTTTGTTTTAAATTGTCTGGATATTTGCATTAACCGTTGGCAATTGTTTTGTTATTGTTTGCAACTTTTCACACGCGATGCGAGACAGTTAGCTCATGAAAATGCAATTTGCAGTAATAATAATAATAAAGTTTATATCTCTTGAATGCAATCGTTTTGACAGCGACTACAGCGCACTTTTATTGTTGGACTTGGGAAGCGAAACTGAACTGAGTTGCTGGGGATCAAAATGGATTTTCACCAGATACGAATAGTTTTCTCCAGAGCCGAAAGACCAAAAGTGGGCTAGCACGTCGAACCGCGAAACTCAAATGAACGGCGCTCGCTGAAATCGCCCCGCTTTTATAGGCGATCGAAGCAGCAAGAGAGGGAGAGTTTTGCGAGTGGGAGAGCGAGCGAGTGATATTGCTCGCATCGGATGACAAAGCAAAGCTAACGAACTGCAAAAAAAAAAAACAGAAAGGAAAAAAAACAAACAGAACGATGTCGAGTGGCGTGCAAAACTCGTAATAAACATTAACGGGGGGTAAATCACAAGCAAAATGCCAAAACAAAGTCAGATGCTAACAAAAATTAGCGGTAGTTGGCAACAGGAGCGGTTCTCTTGGTAAATCAAAGAGCACGAGAGATAAGAAAACAAAACACTAGGGGAAGTAGCGAGTGTCTCGACTATGGGATACCCGTTACTCGTTGCCTGGTTACCAAATTTAAAGCCTATCTTCTGGCGCTCTTTAGCAAAAACAAAATAAATTATGATAGCTTTCTTTTGATTTGTGATACAAAATAAGAAATCTACTTTTTCAAATGTTACAGCTTAATAAAATATGCCATTCGTTACAAAATTAAGTTAAATTGTAAACGCATTGAATATTTCTTCTTACTGTTCTTTAATGTAAGCAAGTTCAATCCAAAATCTCAAGCTCTTAAAGATCTTGTCATCTTTGCATACAAGATTGTCAATCTACCCAGTTTTATAATTGTTACAAGGCTTTCTCGCATACAATATACATCTACTACTCTTCAACTAAGGGGTATCAATTCAGATAACGAGTAAAAGAGAGAGAACGAGCACATTTAACGGTCAAGCGCAGCGGGCGGGCACCCCTACCCCGACACTCGTACCTCTTATACCTCCTCCATACGCCCCATCTGCCGGGCAGTACGTATACGACACATTGACCGGACGGACACTATAGAACATCGACTAGGTGTAATCGCCTGCCGGTTATTGACGCATGTCCAAGAAGCCCGCAAAACAAGATGCCCCCTGGCAACCGTCAGAAGAATCGACGTTCGCGGGCATTTCATTTAAATAACAAATCATTTCACGCTATGACAGGTAGAGCGCCAGGCAAGGACAGGGACGGTTACGGGTTCGAATTCGGGTTCGGGTTTGGGTTCGGGTTCGGGTTCTTAGGTCCGTGTCCGTGAAAACAGCGGCAGCAGGTGGAAGATCATAGTGAATGGACAGGCGACAGTGGGAGGTATTTAGAAGATATGATCCTCGGAAAGTGTGCAGGTAGAAAGCATCCCTAAAAACTAGATCCGCAAATGAGCCAACGGAAATTTCCATCAGGAGGTGTTTTTCTCCTAATTACAATCTGTAAAATAACATGTTATTTCTAAAAAGTATTCAATACATTATTAACTGACACAACAATATTTACAAATGGATCGATCATTATGTGTTATTTTCCCCAGATTGTATTTAAGTCAATGATTTTAAATGATTATAATAAGCAAGTGTTATAGGTATTTGCAAAAATAGATATTTAATCATATCAAGATGACAATATCATGCTGAAAGACCACCATAAATATACATAAACGCTAGAACACACACACACACACACACACACCATTTTTCGCTTATCAATCTAGAAGTAATCTTATCAGCAAACCTTTTTTTTTTTTGTTTTAGCAATGCGCGTGCCTCAGCCGCAAAATGTAAAAAACTGTAATGGTGAAACCCATAAAATAAAATATAATACGAAGACGAGGTGACTCCCGACGGGCTGTCATCCCGCCGGAATGGAAATTTTAGCTAGCGTTAGCATGTTAATAGGGAAAATAATGGTTGCCAAAGTGCAGATAGACCCAGCTTAACAACTTATGCATATGAGCTGGGATCCAAGGCGTGCGCGCTTTGCTTTGGAAGGCGTTTCAAATTACGCCAACCCAAACGAAAAGGGAGCACCCCGAGCAAAGTTAAAATCCAAAATTCAAAACCAAAATCAGAGACGAACCAAAGCCAAATCCAAGCGACGACCCTCGCCAAATTAATGCAATTCAGCGTCAGAGGCGACGGTCAACTGACAAGTCATACACATGCACAAACACAATCACACATAAACTTGGGAACATCATACTATACATAGTATAAACAATTAATGTTTATTTAGAAAGCAAGAACGAAACCCTCGCAATCCGGGCACGCTTTTCACTGGCATTCAACTTTTGTCGAGGCGCAGTTTCTTACTTCTGTGCACGGAGAAAAACAGAACCCGATATATACTGGATAAATTTATACGAATTTGTACTTAGAAAATCAATAAATGTATTTGGTTCTCGTCAATAAACCTAGAAGATCCATACCAAACTATACTAAAAAAAATTAAAATAAATCATATAATTGTAAAAAAAACTTATTCTTTCTAAGTAAAATTTTGTTTTAAGGATTGCTTCCTAAAATAGGAATGTTAGCATGAAACTATGTACGTACTGTATAAATCAACACTTATTTATAATAAGCAATTCACAAACCGTATTTGGTTCTACCCAAAAACAAATCATATAATAATTAGCTATATGATTGGTTTTAATGGTTTTAGTGCGCAGAAAAAGTCTCGAATTACAATAAGCGATGCGTAAAAAATACTTTAAACTGATGGCTGCCATAATTTGGTGTATTATGTTGTATAATATTGGGTTTTGCGATCGTTTTGCGGCACTTTAGTTTTCAGTGTGGAGATGAAATCGGGGGACCATTGTCATCGCAGAAGGTCGCACGGCAATTGCCTGAGAAGCTCACACAAAAGAGACAGTACCACCTCACCTCAGCGGAAATTGCGTCAGACAACGTGAGGATATTAGTCCGAAATAACAATATTTAAACAATATTTTGCAAACCTTTTAAAAACTTATTAAGTGCCCGCGCCGTCGTGTGTTTATTTTTATACTCTTCCTCGAAAGCCAATCCAATTGCAAATTGGTTTATATTGATTTCGCTCTATAAATATCCAGTTCTTTTGTCCCGAAATCTTAATTTTCTCAGAAGTCTGTACGATCGAATATATATAAGCTAATGTATTTCACAAGCGGATGATCTGGAGTAACAGTTTTCTATCTTATCGCTTGATTTATACACCGACAAAGGTGCTATCAACAATATCAATAGATTGAATATCGTAAATATACGTTTATAGAGGGCTATTATTCAAGTATTTATTATTTGACATTTTTAAATCGATTTTTTTTGACGGACGGCTATTGACGAAAAGCCCTTTGCAATATATTTAAACCTGAGTGTTATTTTCCCAAGTGTGCATAGAATTCCATTGAAATTCCTATCTATGAAATTCATCATTTGTTTGTTATTCCTAATTAAATTTGTAAACTAGCGCTTGTGGCGAGTTTTTTAGTTGGGAAAGAATTGATTTAATAGACATAAATAAACAGCACGAATTAATTGCACACTTAACTGTCTTTTAAAGTAGCTTAAGGAACAATATATGTTCTATGACTCATTTCTATATTTTTAGACCATTGTCTATTATACTTCTAGAGATTTAAAAGAAGTCACAAATAAGTTTTTGACTTTGATTTTGATTTGACACTTGATTTTTACTTTAAATCTAATATAATAACGAATTAAAATATTTCTTCACACAGCACAAATAAAGTTTATTAAGAGGGAGGGAATATAACTGTTCAACTCTTTTTAAAATTCTTAAAACAAACTTAAGAACAAAAAGAAAATTTAAAATCCAGTAATAAAAAGCCATTATCTAATTAATCAATCAAAAATATTAAATTTCAATTTGATTTGACTACCGCTACAAATATAAGTGTAAGCTTGGGACATTAATTAAAATAAAATAAACAAAAATGTTTTGAAAAAGGCATTGTTTTTCCAGAGTTAAACTAAAAGAGTAGCTAGTTCACTTCGCCTGCTGTTATCAATACAGCTCAAAAGACATTATTTACGCAGCCTGAACTGAGTGTATTGCAGTTTGACATATGCCATAACTATAGTTTTGTGTTTGCCAAGACAGTTACCCCCCTCAATGGAAATATGCATAACCACAGTGCTCAAGTGCTGCTTGAAGACATGCGCTTCCTCTTTTGGATTATTTGGCCTGTCCGCCAGTCTCTAGCTTCAGTTTGAGCTCTGTTTTTGAACAGTTTTGCTTTGCAGCTATGCAAACAAAGCTGCTCCTGAAAGTGGCTGTTAATTATTGTTATTATGGGTGTGTAAATATACAGCACAAATGCAAAAACAAAGGCGACCACGGCTTGACGTCAATTGCAAAAGGGGGAAATCAGGAACCAACCAAACCCAACCCAAAAAAAAAAAAAAGATAACAGAAGAAGCGCGGCTTTGTTTTGCTTTTGATAAATATATATTTATATATTTGGAATATCGAACTTGTGGGCGGCTGATTCATTAGAGTTATGGGGAATCTACGAATCTGGTTATTTGGCCACGCTTTAATCATTAAATTGATCTTCGGTTCAGAGCATTGCTTCCATCATCACATGTGGATGCTAATGAGTTCGCTCGAATGCGAATGCGACAAACCAGTACCCGTTCCATGGGATTCCCTCTCGAGCTTCGCCGTTCAAGTGTAAACAAAAACCGAAATCGGAATTCCAAGCTATGAAAAGCGTTTATTTAATTAATGGGGGAAAAGTACCAACACAGAAATATCGGGGTAAACTGCCAAAACGGGGCGTGACTTTGTCTGGGCATAATCCAACGAAAGTGGCTATATGGCTTCTCCACTATGTATATAATCACAGGCCAGATAAGTGCACTTAGCATTCGAGACTCTATCAACTCAACACACCGTATCGGAAAGATTCGCCAGACGAAACTGTTGACAAGGGCAATTAGAATGGCGACGAACGACCCTGACCTTTGACCCCCATTGGGTATAACTCATTTCCATGGGTTGTTTTGTAAGCCATCCCACGTAATTTATATTTGCATACCGTGCCTGATAAACAGATCATTCCTAAATGAGCAATGGGAAAATCTCCTATAAATAGGTCTATGACATGTTATCTCACGGCGTCGTTACAATATTTATATTTACG